ATCAGTTCTGAAATCTCCTTTAGTTCACAGGTTATTGGTCAACAGAAAACAAGAAGTTGTGGTTGCACAAAGCCAACTCCTGGCTGCTTTCCTAAATGAAGATGAGCCAGTTACCATTCTCCAGGGCATCAGGTAATTCACCACTTTTTTTGGGTTCAAAGCCTTCCTCCAGAGCCAGTGCCTGGAGCTGAGGACCCTTTTTTGCACAGATGACCAGACAGATGGGGAGAAGGCCAGGTTGGGGGTGGAAATTGAGGGATTAGCTTTCTCTCTCTGGTGGTGCCACCTCTAGATCAAAGTACCTGAAGCTTAGTATTATGGTTGGCCTCAACCATAATTATGGTATGGCTTTACAGCGCTCTTCCAAACACTTCCTCGGATTTGGGGAAGGCAGCTGGACACTCAGATGACTTGTTAGGTGCTATCAAGTTGATTCTGACTCATAGCAACTCTGTGAATAACAGAATGAAACACTGCCCAGTCCAATACCATCCTCACAATCATGTTTGAGCCTATTGTTGCATCCTCTGGCTCAATCCAGCCTGTTGAGGGTCGTCATGTTTTTTTGTTTTTTTTTGCTGATCCTCTTTATCAACCATGATGTCCTTCTCTAGGCACTGGTCCCTCCTGATAACATGTCCAAATTATGCAATATGAAGTCTCACCATCCTTGTTTCTAAGCAGCATTCTGGCTGTACTTCTTCCAAGACAGATTTTTTCATTCTTCTGACAGTCCATGGTATATTTAATATTCTTTGCCAATGTCATAATTCAAAGGCATCAATTCTTCTTCAGTCTTCCTTATTCATTGTCCAGCTTTCACATCCATACAAAGCAACTGAAAAGACCATCGCTTGGGTCAGGTGCACCTTAGTCCTCAAGATGATGTCTTGACTTTTAAACACATTTAAAGAGATCTTTTGCAGCAGATTTTCCCAATGCAATATGCTGTTTATTTCTTGACTGCTGCTTCCATGGGCACTGATTGTGGATCCAAGTAAAATGAAATCCTTGAGAACTTCAATCTTTTCTCTGTTTATCATGATGTTGCTTATTGGGCCACATGTGAAGATTTTTATTTATTTATTTTTTTTGTGTTGAGGTATAATCCATACTGAAGGCTGCAGTCTTTGATCTTTCATCAGCAAGTGCTTTAAGTACTCTTCACTTGCAGCAAGCAAGATTGTGTTATATGTATATTGAAGGTTGTTAATGAATATTCCTCCAATCTTGATGCCATATTTTTCTTCATATACTCCAACTTCTTAGATTATTTGCTCAGTATAGAGGTTGAATAAGTATAATGAAAGGATACAATCCTGATTCACACCTTTCCTGACTTTAAATCTTGTAGTATCCTTTTGTTCTGTTCTAATGCCTGCCTATTGGTCTGTGCATGAGCACAATTAAGTGTTCTGAAACTCCCATTCTTTGCAATGTTATCCATAATTTGTTATGATCCACACAGTCAAATGCCTTTGCATCATCAATAAAATACAGGTAAACATCTTTCTCTGCTTTCAGCCAAGATCCATCTGACACTGGTGATGATCTCCCTTGTTTCATGCCCTTGTTCTGAATCTGGCTTGAATTTCTGGCAGTTGACTTAGAGACATAAGAAATAAGCCCAACCCAGCCCAGGCTGGGCTTGTGGGTCAGTGTTGCTGTAGGCTGTGGTGATGACATTCAACCCACTGGATGATGTCCATTCTCAGGCCTGCTTATGCAGAACACACATGTAATCATCTATTGTTGTTAGCTGCCGTTGAGTTGGCTCTGACTCATGACAACCTTATGTACAACAGAATGAAATGTTGCCCAATCCTGGCCACCCTCACAATCTTAGTACATTTGAGCCTATTGTTGCAGCCACCATGTCAATCATCTAGGAGCAGATAAATCACTATCCTGCCATCAATCCAGGAGCTCTGGTGGCATAGTGCCTAAGGCATTTGACTGCTAACCAGAAGGCTGGTGGTTCAAACCCACCAGCCACTCCTCAGAAGGATGACTGGAGAATCTACTTCCATAGAGATAGTACCTCAGAAACCCAAGGAGGGGTGACTATGAGTTGGATTCGACTCGATGGCAGTGAGTTTTGTTTGTTTGTTTGTTTTGTTTTGCCATTAATCCATGATGGCTAGGCAGGCATTTGGACTCAGAACTCTGTAGTGAGGGTTCTGCCCATGGAGCAGGAGAACAAGGGTCTCAATTTCAAATCCTTAATGTCACTACAGATACTTTGTGTTTGTTTTCCTGGGGGAAAAAAGGCTATGTTGAATTTTTGTGAAATTCATTTTATTTAAAAATGACCAAGGGAGTTCATTATGTTAGTGACTTCTTGGTGATTGTTTTGGTAAAGCAAATACTTCTTTAATAATGCAAAATATCAGTTGGGGTTCATGAGGAGGGTCATCTGCTCAGTTTGCTTCAAGAAAGCCCATCTGTAGTGATGGTCTTAAATATATAGGATATATCAGTGGTCCTAAAACTGTGTTCCAGGCAACTTTTCTGGGGCTGGAGAGTAACAGCAGTGGCTGATAGGGTTTGGGGTAGTCTTTCCCTTCCCTCCAACCTGAGTAGCTCTTGTGGTCTCAGTTCTGAACATTTTCACTCCTGCCTTAGTGAATCTCCCCTCTGGGGCCAGATTCTGAAATCTGGCCTACACTTTAGGCCTGCAACCTTCCTTCTCTAATTCAGCCTGTATAGCATGCTGGCAGCAAGATTTACATATGCCATCTCCAGTAACAGCACAGTGAGGGCAAAGAGAGAGAGAGAGATGCTATTCAGACAAACCTAAAAATGGAAGGAACAGTGGAAATAGATGCTGCAGAAGATGACGCCTTCATCTCTGATTTAACAAGTGAGTCCTGTTTGGATGGTCTTTTCTTAGGAATCTTGAGACCAAGATGGACCAATGTCCTAGCCTGATAGTTGGCAGAATTCTTCTGTTAGGCTCGGAGACTCTCTTTCTGCCAGGGGCAGCCACAATTTAGAAGGTTATAGCAAAGTGAGAAATTCATGAAAGCTGGAGAGTTTCAGTGGTGAAAGTTTCAGCTTAGGAGTAGATGTGTGAAGACATTAAGGCAGGGGGAACAAAAGGGGGGGGGAGGTGAGAGTATTATCCGTCCTTCCCAGCTATGGAATACCAGGCTTTTGAGATCCATTACCACTGTATATGTCTAAAACTTAACCTTTAGAGGATCTGAAACACTAATGAACATGTCTAGGCCCACTGCTGGGACAGGTAGTTGGTGGATCTGGCTGTTCTCAGGAATTTTGGGGGTGGTGGTAAATGGGTGGGGTAGTCAGGAAGAATGAAAAGAACTGTGTATACTGTATTTTTACACAAATGACATATATACTGTTTTTTTGCAAACCGTGTGACCCCTTCACACATTAGTTTCCTATGTATGTTATATGTGTGCATGCATTGTTTACGTGAGCGTGTTATATGTGAAAAAAATACAGTATCTGGAGAGATGCAGAGTCAACATCTTCCTTGCTGTAACAGGTGTCATTTCTCAGCAGTACAGGGAAATCGTGGACGTGTTGGGAGGTGAAGGTGGTTAAATTAGTTTCAGCCACTGGTGTAAGGAAGAGGGAAAAGTGTGTTCTGGGACCGCAGAAGCCTCCTTGGTGAGATTCTCTGACACTGGATGTCTTCACAGGGCTGTTCAGGCTGTGTTTTGATGCCTATGGTGAAGTTTAGAGGTACCTGAAAGCTCACTATGGCCTGAGACATTTGGCAAAAATGCCCCAGGGCCAAGCTGCCTCCCCCTGGATCTGTATTTTGGAGTGTGTGTATACTGGGGAGAGAGGAGCTGTGTGTAAGAAAATGTACTGAAACATGTTGTCTGTGTGGTGCTGATGCAAAGACCAGAGCCACGCAATCTAATTGCCAGGGCCATACACAGAAAAGAAATCTTTTTGTACAAGGTGTAGCCTAAACAACAAATTGGGCCCCACCTACGTCCTTGGGGTTTCTGCAGTGAGCCAGGGGGTCATTGTCTTCTGAAAACAGCCCACATTGTGCCAGGGATGCCCAGTCTACCCTGAGCCTGCGGGACGGGTCCTGGCTAATGCAATGCCCCTCTCTTCATTGGTTAAAAGAAGACACACAGGGTCTGTTCTGGTCTCGGGAGGTCCCAACACTGAACCAAGTCTTCTTTACCAACTTGGTGGCCTAATCTGCACTTAGACAAATGGAGGTGGCAATGGTTTAGAGGACCATCGTTCTTGGGTGACCACTGTTACATCCAAGAGATCTTCTAGCTGGCTGTAGAATGTGGGGTTGTGACTCCCAGACACTTGGCCTAAGGCAGGGAAGAATAGAGCTGGACCTTGGAAAGGATCTTTCTGCTTACTAGCATCTGAGATTATAAAAAATTTTTCTTTTAATCAAAAATTTCCAAAATAAAGTGAGTGATTTCCCCATTCCCAAAGATGCAACAAGTCATGTGGGCTCTCCCTCAGGCTTATCACAAGTCAAATGAAAAGAAAGCAAGAAGCAGCTGGGAAGAAAGGAAGGGCCAGAGCAAGGGCAGACGTGGCTTTGGGCCAGGGGAGAGCCCCTGCACCCAGTATGCTTCTGCTCCCAGGCCTGGCTCTGTCTGGGCCACTCCACCAGCGTGAAGTCTGGCTAAATCCTCAGTAAAGGACAATGACTGTGTGAAGGCAACCGACAGACGTGCCCGCCTGGAAAGCAGAACTTCTTGGCTTCACAGGTCACGTGGCACGTAGCTCGGCACAGAAATGATTCCTTTACACAGCAGCATGTGTTCTTGTCGTAGCTCAAGGCATAAATCATACTTCCCAACGAAAAAACCCCAATCTTGTTAGCAGCGCATACCTTATACTAGGAAACTTGCAAGAAGACCAGTGGTGAACCACAAAGCGGAAACAGGTTTTTGCTTTTGTCTGTAAAAATGTACAGTGCGCCTGCTTGGGGCTGCAGTGTCAGGACTGCGCGGTGCTCCCTTGCTGAGGGCTCTGTTCCTTCATACCTCACCCACCCACACCACCGTGGTCCCCCCCTTTATGCCCGACACCTCACATCGCAGTGTATTTTGCCGCCCGTTGATGAGAAACAGTGACTCCTGGGCTGGTGTCAGGAGGTACTGTCCGAAGAGCCCACTGTCCCTCACGATTCTGCGGGGCCCACCCCAGGGCCGGGCCAGCCTCGCAGGTGGCTCCTTTAAGTTTTTCAGCACTCCAGTCTTCCCTGTGGACAGCTCTAGGAACAGCAGGTCAGGCTCTGTCTCCAGGGCTGCGTAGACATAGTACTGGTTGCCCTCGGTGAAGGAGCGTTGGAATGCCAAGGCTGAGATGCCCTGGGGGACCCTCAGGTCATAAAGTGTCTGGATCTCCCCCCACATTGTGATCTCCTGCACATGCAGCCGGGGGCTGTTGGAAGCGGCGCTGACAATGAAGCGTCCATCAGGAGATATGTGTGGGGTGCCTGTAATGTCACAGTTGGGGCCAATCACAGAGTCTGTGACGCTGTCAACCAGCAGCTGGGGGGTGGCTAGGGTGGAGCTGTTCTGTTGGCACTGGATGAAGAAATAGCCGCCCAAGTGTGTGTGGGCCATGGCCTGTGGCACGCAGCTGTGCCTCTGCAGGCTGATGGTCTTGAGGTGCATCAGCGTTTCCAGGTCCACTTTGTGAACTGCAGGGTCGGACTTGTTGAAGATGAAGCCAAACCTGAGTGGGAAAGAATTGTGGTCAGAGGTTGGGAAGTCTCCTCTCGGGGTAGGGGATTTGTCATTTGTCTTAAACTTTATAATTTCCTTTATTATAATTCTCTAGTGCTCTATCAGTCTATTAATAAGATCTACCATAGGGCACCACCACCTGTCTGTCAGTTTGTTGTACTGTGGTGGCTTGTATGTTGCTATGACATAGGAACCTAGGCCATTGGTATTTCAAATACCAACAGGGTCACCCAAGGTAGACAGGTTTCAGTGGAGCTTCCAGACTAAGGCAGACTAGGAAGAAAGGCCTGGGGATCTCCTTCCAAAAATTAGCCAGTGAAGACCTTCTGGATCACAACAGAATATTGCCCAATAGGATACTGGAAGTTCCTGGGTGGTTGGTGTAAATGGTTAAGTGTTTGATGATTAGCAGAAAGGTTGGTGGTTCAAACCCACCCAGGGACACCTTGGGAGGCCAGTCCTGGTGATCTGCTTCTGAAAGGTTATAGCCTTGAAAACTATGGCGCAGTTCTACTCTGCCCATGTGAGGATGCCATAAGCTAGAATTGACTCGACAGCAGACAGCAGTGCTGGAAGATGAGCCCCCTAGATGGTAAGGCACTCAAAATTCAGGCTTGACTATACCAACAATTGTGAAGATGGTGCCATCACTTTGTTCTGCTACACATGGGATAAGTGTGAATCGTAGCCGATTCAACTAGCAACAGTCTTGGGGTAGGGCTGGCTTCATAAGTAACTCATTTATGATCTCAAACTAAATGCAATCGTGTTACAAACATCCCTGGTTTTATGCTCTTGTAACATGCTCTCATCTTTTGAAACAGTAAAGGAAGAGGGTATAAAGGTTGTCCCTTTGGGATGTTGTGGAGTCAGCTTCCTCAAGGCCTTGTGTGGGTGTGTATGGTGAGCCTGTGCCCGGAGGATGAGCATGGAGGCAGAGGACAAGGCTTGTGCCATGATCACAAGACAGGAAATCCTTCATATTAGATGTTTTCTAGAAATAATTGGCTAGTTGATAATCAGGGATGAACATACAACTACACCAGTACAGGTACCCTATCAGTGTCCCTTTCCCTGGGAGAGGGACCTCTTCCCTGGCCACATTTATGATATTAATAGAAAAGACTTGGGGCAGTGGAACCAGGACAGCTTTCACCTTGGAGCGAGATGGCCTGGTGCAGCCTTGCTGACTGCAGAGCCTGTTGCGGGTTCTTGCCTCTCTGAGCCTCTGTGACTTTGAAAAGGTTGTTACCTCCTAGGATTGTTGAGAGGATTAGATGTAAGAAGGAAGGTCAGTGTGAGAGCTCAGTAGGTGATAGTTGCTCACAGTAGGATCTTCTAACATTCCTTCTTTGGAAATTGGTTGCCAGCTGTGAAAAGGCCTGACTCTAGGCAGGACTCCCTTTGATCTTGAGAGCCTCTGCCTCAATCCCCTGCTCATAGAGGCCCTTTGGCACTATACCCACCTATGGGAATGCAGACAAATCTCCTCCATAATTTTCACACACACACACACATATATACACCTCACAGTGGGGGAAATGTTCCCCCTGCCCCAGGCACTTCTTTAAAGCATCATCTAAGAGCCAGAGCAGGGAAAGGACAGACAGGGGAACCCTGCTTTGATAGGGAATTTGAATGTAAAAGCCACATGCAAGAGCTGCTGTGTCTGCAACGGCCCCAGTTGAATTCAGGTTCTGTAAGAGGGGCTGACGAACCAGTCTCACCAATTCATAAATCTTAGAGGCTCTTCCCCAGCCATGCACCCTCTGTAGAGAGGGAGTTCATGTGATAGTGATTTTCTGCCTTTGGGCAGGGGTAAATGGGTGAGTCCTATTTTAAGAAGTCCAGCAGTCAGCTTGCAAAAACGAACCATTTTTTCTTGAAGAAAGGTGTTTGACATCAGATTAAAGAAAGGCATAAATATTTAGTGCCACAAGACACTTGAGGTCTTCATTACTTAAAGGTTTAGTCTTCTCAGTGTGGTGTGGTCACAGAAAATGTCAGTGTTCTTAGAAATGAATAGGGAAGGGAAAGTGACCAGGCTGGGATGAGGTTTGCAGCTGAGACCATGCCTGTGATTATTAGGGTGTTATGTTGGGTGGTGGCAACTCATGGCAACCAGGAGGGCTTGTCTTCTTGCAGGTCCCTGCATGACTATTCTGGGGACTCCTGGAGGAACTATGGTCCAAAGTTAGTATGAACCTGCTTTGCATTTAGTCTGGCTCTGTGAATTCATGGCTGTGTGACTTTGGCCCAGTGTCTTCTCTGAGTCTCAGTTTCCCCACCTGTGAAACAGGAGTCAAGACTAAGTTTGTAGGTTTTTGTGTTGCTCAAATAGCAGTTGTTGTGTCTGCCTTCCTCCATTGTTCTCACCTTGGGGCTGAGAATTTGACCTAACTGGGCCCCTGAGGGCGTTAGGACCTGCATGTACTCCTTAACTACAACTGAGTCACTGATGCTAACTAATAAGAACTAAGCCCTGAGTCTTTACCAGGATGGGCCCATTTCTCCATCTCTTCTCCATGGGTCCAAAGCCAGCCCAGGAGGTGATGGTAAAGAGATGAAGCTGCTTCCTACAGCGCAGAGCTGGAGCATGCAGTGCCTCAGAAGCATTGTAGCTTATCTCACCTGATGTGGTTGATGATGAGGTTTGTTGGGGGGATGAAGAAGTCATCTACTCCAGCAAAGGGTGTGCGGATGAAGTGCTGGCCCTGGCCGGTGCTGGCTTCCGTGATCACCTACAACACAGAGTGGCAATCCCTGTGAGGGCCCATCCAAGAGAGTGCTGGAACCCGAGAACATAAGCAGGCCCAGTTAGAGCCCCCAGGAGAGGGAGACAAACCATAGTTTTTGGGAGCACCAGGCAGGGGTTCATCCTTTTGGGGAAGGGAGATGGTGGAACTGGAGTGAATGACTGCACTGCTCTCTGTGCTCAGCCAGGCTTGACCATGCTGCACTTTGTCAGCCAGTCTTCATAGTCATGAAGGTAGAGCAAGGGTTGCATGGGCTGTGTTAGGGGAGGTCCCAGGACTACTTGCTCAGAGACAGTCTCCTTCCTCAACAGGGAATCTCACCCACTAAATACCAGGCCACCTGAGGAAAAGAGGAAGAGCGCCTTTCCAGTATGAAATGTTAAATTGTGGAATTGTTTATTGGGAATCTGTTTCTTGTATGCCAGGTGCCTGGGCCAGTTTGTTGGGAGTCCTTGGCATCTACTGCTCACAGAAGCTTTCTCTGAGAGTGGTGACTCCATAGTGCATTAGAGAAAGCAGGAACCTGCAGGGATGCATTCAGAGATGCTGGTCATGCTATTTTGATGTTTTGCAGATAGAATGCTGGGGAGAGGGTCTGATTTCACAAAGTGAGAAGTAAAGAATTAGGCCCTGTGATTGTACAAATTGGTGGCGACAGAGAAGGACTGCCTGTCTTTGCCTGGTGGGAACCTCTTCTCTCCTGTGGACTGGACAGAAGGCAACTGGAGTTGTTCCCTGGTGTTTGTCCCTGCGGGTCTTTGCCAGGGGAAGGGCATACTGGCAGCTTAGAACAGAGCCTGGTGGTGGTAGACAGGATCAGCGTGGTCTGGAGATCAGTCATAATGGGCAAGTAGGCCTCCCTCCATCAGGGACTGATGGTTGTGCCTAGATATGAGCAGGCTTGTCCCCTTGCCTTCTGCCTGTGCTTACCAGCCTTCACATTCTAGGCCACTGCTGTAGCCAGGAGGAAAGGCAGCAAATACCAGACACCTGGACAGGGAGGTGAGGCACTCTTCCAGATCACTGGTACTGAATTGTGACGGTATGTCCACAAGGAAAGATGCAGGCTTCTGCAACCTGAGGCTGGCCTGCAGGATGGGGCAGTCTGTGATGGTGGTGATGGTGGTTTGTGACTCATAAGACTTGGAAATCTGGAAGCTTTTTGCCTTTTCATGACTGACTGCCTCTAGCATTCATTTTCCTGGCAAAACAGTACCTGGCTTGCTTCCTCCTCAGGCAGGCATGAGGTTTAAGTTAACTCTTTGATCATGTTTCCCTCTGGAGATCATCATCAGACAGAATGCTGGACTGGAATGAGGTGGCTGAGATTTTCAGCTCTCAAGTTCCAAAATTCCTTTAGGTTACTTTCCCATGATTTTTAAAACAGTCAAATGACACTTTCATTGTAAGTCCATTCCTAGGGACAGCCATAGAGGAACTCATAAAACTGGGCATTAAGAAAACACCAGCATTAGAAAAGTGGATCTTGGAGAAACCGGGGAAAATGCTAGAGAATTCTAAGAAGCCATATAGTTACTGCTTGATATCAGGCCTGTCATTTTAGCTTATAATAAGATGCAAAATTATAGACTGTCATTGGTTAGTGTCATTCATACTCCAGCACTCTGACACCCTGTATTCAGAAGTTAATTAATCAAAGCACAGTATCATGGGCTATTGAACTGATGTGGGCAGGTCAGCCTTGTTTCTCCAACCAGTCATGAGGTCTTTCTTGGGTCTGAGCACGTGGCTGGGTATACCAGTGCCCCAAAGAAAGATCATTGTCAAGGGCCTCAAATTTGCTGGCACTCTGGGCTTGGATCAGGAGATGCCAGCCATTGCTGGGTGGGGTCAGAAGGCATCTCCCTCAGGGGACAGGGGAAGCCAGTTGAGAAGCGACATTTGGGGAGGTGGTTAATGAGGCAAGAGAGTGCTGGGCAGAATTTGAGAAGTCAAAGGTTGAAAAATGGTTGCTGGGTGAGGACCCTGGTGGAAGGAGCCTCATTTACAGAAAAACCTTCATGCAGTTATGTGAATGCTTGTTTCATCAACCCCTTGCTTAAAGGTGGGTAGTGAGTTCAGGTATGAGGAGCACAGAACTGGGCTCCACAGGGGTTTTGGTAGCTGACTTTCCCAAAGCAGATCACCAGGCCTTTCTTCCGAGGTGCCTCTGGGTGGACTTGATCTCCAACTGTTTGGTTAGCAGCTGAGTGCTTAACCATTTGCACTACCCAGGGCCTTCATGAGTTTAGGAATTAACTTGGCAACTGGTTTGGTACTGGATATTTATAAACAATATTAGGATATTTTTTGTAATGTTTTGCAATAACACAATGTTGTAGCTAAATTTTTGTCCACATCCATGATTAGGATATTTGGATAAATTCTGAGAGATCAAGTTGCTGATTGAAAGGCATTTTTTGTGTGTGTAGTGGGATGGGTGGAGCTTTTGATATGTATTTCCAAATTGCTCTCCCAAAGGCTGTGACAGCTAACTTTTCTGGGAGCAAATTTTTTGCCAGTATTTATTTCCTTTACCTTAGCCAGCAGTAATGAAGGTTGTTTTTCTAATGTTTATTCAAATGATTTCATTTAAAAAAATTTTTTGTTGGTCATAGTGCAATTGTTGGTCTAATTATGGCAATGGTGGGCACACATATGTACTCACTTGTATCTACCTGTATACATATATGCTTATATACTTACTTACATAGTGCACTCAGTTTTTGGTTACTGTTGATGTTATTGCAAATTATATATGTCATATTCTTCAGCACAACTATCCTTTTCTCTTGTGCATCGTTTACTTGGCTCAAGCTGTGCTCATTATACTCCATTTTGTGCTACTTTTCCCATCACCAAAAATAACAAGTTTCTACTGTCTAGAGAGTGAATCCGTCTTCTCACCATCCCTGGTAACCAGCAATGAATGTTGGTCTCTGTATATATATCTATTCTTGTCTTCTTCTAAAAGTGGGCTCATACAGTACTTGTCCTCATGTGATGGACTTATTTCACTTAGAATTATGTCCTCCAGATCCATCCGTAGTACAGTATGTTTCACAGTATTCTGCTGTCTGTACCACACTGTGCTTATCCAGTCATCCTCTGAAGGGCACTTAGTGAGCAATCATCCATTTCCTCTAGGTTTTAAAATTTGCCACCACAAATTGCAAGGTAGTATTTTACAGTTCTTCATCTCTCCTTTGTCTGTGGTAATATCCCTTTTCTCATTTTGTCTATTTTTTCCTTTATCAAGCTCACAAAGGATTTCTTTTTAAAATTGTTTCTCTGTTCATTAATTAAAATTGTTTCATTTCATTAATTTCAATTGTTATTAATTCCTTCTCACCAGTCATTTTGTTCTTTTTCTGATTTCTTAACAAAGTGCTTTCCTTTGCAGACTTTTAAGGTGCAAATACTCCTTGTGTATAGCTTTTTCTGTGTCCTATCGCTTTTGATGTGAAATTGTCTCTCGTTCATTGCTTGAGTCAGTTTGTAATTTCCCTTTTGATCCAATCTAGGAGTGTTTTCTTATTAGGTCACATTTTAATTATTTCTAATTATCAGATAATGTAGCTTATAACATTGACTTTTACAAAATTTCTTAGAGTTTTGTGATTAGTGATAAGTTTTTGTTTACACTGTGAGGACACATGAAAATTCTTATTTGAAGGACAAAAGGCTTTCTATATATTTATTCAAGCAAGTTCCTTGCTTATATTATTCCATTCTCTTATATCATTTTTATCTCTTTGGAATGTATAATTAAGGTGCATTTTAAATCAAGTTCTCCTTGTACTTTAATCACTTTTATTATGTGTATTTAGTCACTATATTGTTTGATATATACTGTGATCATGTCTCTCCTTACACTGCTGTTTAATGTTTTTAATCTTAAATTCCACTTTGTCTAATACTACCACCATTCCTGCTTATCTTTTTGTTCACCTGTTATCATTCTTCCCATCCCTTTAATTCATATTTTCATCACTTTGTGTGTTTCTTATAAGCAACTATAGTCTTTTTTTTTATAAACAAACAAACAAACAAACAAACCCAATCTGACTATCTCTGCTTTTAATAGGATTGAGTTTGTTACATTTGGAATAATGAAACAGTTACTTCTCAACTATTACTCTCAAACAATATTCTTTACATTCTTTTATCCCAATGAGATTTTTGAGTAATTTCACTCCCTTTTTCTTTCTCTACTCTCTACACTTTTATTGAAATAAAATGTTACACTTTCAATTACACACTAGTATCAGAATTTCCTTTTCAGTGTGCTTTTCCCATTTTAAATGCCCTTATCTAGCACTTATATGTTTCAAGATAATCTTTCCTCATCCATTTTACTTTTAATTTTAGATCTTCCTCTTGAAGATCTTCCTCTTGAGGTTCATCACCTACCACTGTCTCCACTTAAGCTTTGCCCCATCTTGATATCTCTGATCTGATTCATCTGATATTTGCCTAGTATCTTGTCTTAAATGGTGTGCTCCCTGAATTCTTGTGTACCCTCCTATCTTTCTGTTGTTCTGACAGGTAAATGATACCTTGGCAGGGGATAGGTTTCTTGGGTTGCATCTCAGTAGTCTATAGATGTCATTCCATGTGTTTCAGCTACTGATGCAGGTAAGAAGTCCAGAGCCAATCTGATGGTATAGGTCAGGTCACTTGTTCTTTCTGCCTTGAAACTTGAAAGATTTTTTACTGAGAAAGGCAGATGTGTCATTTTTCATCAGTCCACCCTAGAACTTAGAACTCTTAAACCCAGAGAAATTTTATTCCAAACTGATTTAATGCTTGACCTGATCCCATTTGTTGTCTTTTCCATTTCTAAATATTTGTGCTTCTCACTTGAGGTCTCAGTCTCTTCATATTTTTGCTTTGTGATTTGAGATGTTTTTTTCTCTTTTAGGCCATTATTTTGGTTCTCAGTAGAACCATGCATCTTTCAACTCACCTACTCAAGTTTTAGATTGGAAAATAATTTTTTTTCTTAGTTCTAGAAACCTCGTTGCCATCCCCCACCCCCTGAAATTTCCCTGTGTGCTTTCTTACCTTTTCCTTCATCCCCTCTAGCAGCTCTATTTCTGTGCGAGCTCTATTCTGGCTATTGGGCCCTCTGATAGGTTATTTTTTGTCAGCTCATTGCAGCCCAGGATTGATTGCTGGTGTCCCTTGAGTGACAATATTTCACTTTATAGGAGATGAAGTGGTGTCTGCTGCCTGATCCGACAATGCAAGAGGTAGCAGGTGTCAGTCCCTTTGAGGGGCTTTTATAGACCTTGGTCTTCCTGGCCTCTTGCCAGCCTCAAGAACAGGGGGACTTGGCTCCACCTGCAGTCCTTCTCAACTAGGGTGGTGAGAAGTATCAGACCCTAATGCTCAAGGTGTCCACTGTATGTAAGGAATGAACTTCTGTGCACCTAGAATATTCTATATCTCATTCTTGGGGCCATTGAGAAAACAGGCTTTCATATCACCTTTATATGGCTTACTTCTCTCATGGAACCCTGATAAGAAAGACTGAGTCAGGCATATACAACCCTGATTCAGTATTGAACTTCCTAGGAGGTGAAGATCTCCAGGCTGTCAGTGCAGTGGTTAAATGTATGGGCTCCAAAGCCACACTGCCTGGGTTGGGCCATGTTGTTGTTGTTTGCCGTTGAGTCGGCCCCGACTCATAGCGACCCCTCCTTGGGTTTCTGAGGCAGTATCACTACAGAAGTAGGATTGCCCAACCTTCCTTCCGAGGAGTGGCTCGTGGGTTTGAACCACCAGCCTTCTGGTTAGCAGTCAAGTGCCTTTAGGCACTAATGCTACCAGAACTCCTGGGTTGGGCCATAGACTTATTATTTTACTTTTCTGTGCTAGGACATTATAAACACTTAGTAAACGTGCTTTCACATGTGGATATAGGATATAATCGCTGCTTTTCTTCCTCCTTTATTGGCCAGCATTTACTACTAACTCTGACACTATTTTCCAAATGCCTGCCAATACCAAAGTGAAGAAAGCTTTGTCAACTTTCTCCCTGCTTGGACCTCACTTGCTGTTTGGCTCTAGAAGCTAAAGTCTCAGGAGAGGCAGATATCTTGGGGCTGAGTTGGCTGGGTGCTAGAAGCCACATTTGGGTTGTCATGACATCATGGGCAGGGTTAAGATACCCTGTTAATTGCCAGCAAAAGGGGTGTTGGCTAGAGGTGGTTTCCTACTGTCTTTTCCAGCTTTAATGGATGTATTTTGGAAAATGTTAGTCACTTTGAGAAGCAGGAGACACTTATTAGATACAGAGAATCCTTTCCCTTATGGAGGGTCTCAGCCCTCAACTCAACATACCTGGAGGCTTGGCTGGGACTTGTGCATGTCTCCCCAGCTCAGGACCCACACTTGGTCATGAGACTTGTCATAGGATATCTTAGCCGGCAGAGGGTCCACACCTATGGACTTGAAAAAAAATAGTGACAAGTTGGTCATCATTGTTGCAGAAGCTGACACAATGGTCAGTTCAGGGCTTTGTGTGTACAGGTATCATTCTGGGTGAATGGAAAGCCAGCCCTGGATCCTAGGCAATGATCTTGTTTGGGGATCCAGGGAAGAAGCTTCATCCTTAGAGGCATAAAATTGGTTGTCAACATTGTTTTCCCTTTTAAGAACTTATTTTCTTGCAGGACCCAGACCAACTTGGAAAAGCCTACGTCACCTCTTTACTTCTCCAGCTAGCTTTTTGGGCCTCTAAATCCCTCGGGGTCCTTCTCTAGGCTCCTCCATGCCCTAGATTCTATTGAGTTGGCTCTTCCCCTTGGGCTGAGACTGATTCTGAATTATCCATTATCACCATTCTTTTATGTTCTACTTTGAATAGACTCTATCTTGCACATCCTTCCCCTGGACCTGTTAGAACTGAGGCTGTAGCATCAGGCAGACTATTTTACTGCTGTAACTGAAACTGTCATCCCTTGTAGATATAACTTCTCTGTCAAATGCAGGCTATTTTTCTTCTACTTATAATGTAGTTTCATAAGTTCAAAAACTCTGTGAAATAGACAGCTCCACAACGATAGTTGGAGCCTTCAGTGTACCACTTTGAGTAGTGGACAGAACATCTAGCAAGGTCAATAAGGAATTACAGGACCTGAACAACACTATAAACGAACTTAACCTAACAGACATATATAGAACACTCCAACCAACAACCAAAAAATCCATTGCCATCGAGCTATTTTTGACTCATAGGGACCCCCACTGGGTTTCCAAGGCTATAAATCTTTATGGAAGTTGGAAGTAGATTGCCTCATTTTCCTTCTGTGAAGCAGCTGGTGGATTTGAACCACTGACCTTCTGGTTAGTGGTTAGCAGACAAATGCCTTACCCGCTATGCCACAATGTAATTTTTTTCCCAGTACACATGGATCATCCTCCAGGATAGACTATATGTTAAGACACAAAGCAAGGTTTCAAATATTGAAATTATGCAAAATATATTCTCCAACCACAAGGAATGATTTAGAAATTAATAATAATGGGAAAGTTGGAAAACACACAAATATGTGGAAATTAAGATACTGATAATTAAGATACTGATAAACAACCCATGGGTCAAGGAAGACATGAGAGAATTCAGGAAAAAAATATACATCACAACAACAAAAAATGCTCATGCCACTAGACTCTGACCCTGTTCTTGTTATCAGTCAATGTCTTGGCCACTCCCTTTTGCTCACTGAAGACTTTAACATATGGTTCACTGTCTTCTCTACCACTCAACTGGTTAGTATTTTTGCTGCTTCCATATCCACCCAAAAACCTAACTTCTCAGTTACAATTATCTTTCCTCTACATCTCAACCACCATAACTTAGACCTTAACAATGTAATTTTAGAAATTTAAATTTTAACCAAACCTTTTTGATCTGAGAGGGGAAAAAAAAAAAACCAAACAAAAAATGGTACCCTGTCTCATATCTCCTCCTCCCACTGGGTAAAACTTCTTGAAAGACCTGTCTATGGAGCCCCTGTATCCTGCTCTTAACTCATTCCCATGCATTTTCTGTCATCATCATAGACCTTCATGCCAAGTTCAGAGATCACTCTAGAAGCCTCTTCTTCCTTGACATTTCAGTAGGACTCCACATGGTTGATTATCCTCTCCTGAAAACATTTTCTACACTTGGCCTCCCCACTCCTTCATTCCTAAGTATTAGCATCCCCAGATCTTCATCTTTGACCTTCTCTTTTTCTACATGCTTTCCCTGGATGAGCTCATCCAATACTATGGCTTTAATAATCCACTATACCATGATGACTCAAATTAATTCCTTTATTAGTGACCTCAACCTAACATATACAAAGTTGAACTATTGATTTTTCTCACCCCTACTCCTTACTGAAATACATTCCTTTTTCAGTCATCACCATTTCTGATACATCTCTTTGAAACCTCCTGCCCCCTGAGTCCCTCTCAAGGTGAAGCTGTTTATGTTTTTCTATACCTCACATTCCCTCAGTCCTTTGTCTTTGTTCATGCCTCTGGCTGAGCCTCCTTGTTCCTATCACCTGTCAGCTTCCTAGCCATTCTCCTTCATTCACCAATGGCTTTATTTAGTACCTGACACTGTGCTCTTTCTTCTATGCTGAGTGTCCTAACTCACCATTAACAACACTATCTCTAGCTTCTTATACACTGTCTTTATTTTTTAAACAAAACCAAACTCTTCTTGACTGCATATTCTCCACCATCTATCTTGTTCCTCTTCCTTCTTCACAGCAAAACTTCCCAAAAGTTCAGACTGTAGCCATTCTCTCCCCCTTATGTTTAACCTTCTCCCATCATATTCACATCTCTTTCCTCTTGAACACTTTTTTGTCAAAATGAATGGTTACTTTTTGCCTTCATTCTACTCAGCCTCTCAGGAGGTTTAGGCACACAGAAGGAAATAATTTTCATCTCCTTTGTTGCCTTCTTTTCACTACTCAAATTTTAAATGATGTGTGTCTCAGGGCTTAGTCCTTGGCCTTTTTAGTATTGCACTTTCCTTCACACCCCATGGCTCTAAATATCTCATATTTCCAGCTTCTGGTTAGGATGGAATAATTTGTGGCAGACCACTTAAGACTATGATTCTGACAGGGAAGAAACCTATCAGAAGCTTCCCTGATAGGTGGCATTGGGGCAGGAGACTTAAGAGCTAAGCCCAATATTTTTTGAACTCAGAACAGTTTTCCCACAGTCTCACTGTGCTAAGAAGCAAGGATAGGGCAGCGAAAGGTCATGTTATCATGTTAAATACATCAAGCTCTCAGTTAAAGCCCTGGAGGGGGTTCCACCCTAGATTTTAGATTTAGGAGTGAAACAAGGCAAATGAAAAAACATTCAACTCAGCTTTGATTCAATTTAATCCCTGATTAAAGTGATTCGTTCTCTATTCTCTCTGCCTAACAGAGAAAAGGATAACTCCTCTCTGATGAATAAGAGCCATCTGGAGACTCTACAATATTTTCACATACAATATCTGGCATTTAATAAGAAAGTCCTAGGCTTGTTGAGACAGAACTATATGAATGAAAGCAAGATTAAAAAGACAATAGAAACAGACCCACAGGTGATCCATATATTGGAGTTAGCAGAAAAGGTAATCTATGTACAAAAAAGGAAATTAAATAGAAATTCTAAAAGTGAAATATGCAATATCTGAAATTAAGAACTCAATAAATAACCCATGTAAGACACAGCAGAAGACAGGATGAGTCAACTGAAAGACAGACTGATAGATCATACTCAGATTGAAGCACAAAGAGATAAAAACAGTAACAAAAGTGAGAAAGACATGGGCAGCACAATGGGAAAGTCCTCTTTTTAAATGGAGCTCCTGAAGAAGAGAGAGAGAAAACAAAGCAACAGAATAACTGAAGAAATAATGTATGAGAATTTTCCAATCTCATGAAAGGATAATATCTACACATTCTAGAATCTCCGCAAACCTCAAAAGGATAAATACAGAAAACACTATACACCAGCACATGATAGTAAACCATTAAACACCAAAGATAAAAATTTAAAAGTAGCCAGAAAGAAAGAGATATATTACCTTCAAAAGAGCAACAATAAGACTGACTTAACAAAAAATGGGAGCCAGAAGATAATGGAATGACATCTTAAAATGGTGAAAGAAAATAAGTATCAATCTAGAATTCTATACACAGTCAAAATAGCCTTAAAATTTTTCTTTTTCAGACAAAAACCGAGAACCTGTTGCCAGTAGATCTTCATTGAAAGCATTATTAAAGAACCTCCTTCAGTCAGAATGGATATGATCCCCAGACAGAAATATAGAAAACAAAAATCCTCACAACTAGGCCAATAAGCAACATCAAAATAAATGGAGAAGAGGTTGAAGTTGTCCAGGATTTCATTTTATTTGGATCCATAATCAATGCCACTGGAAGCAGCAGTCAAGAAATCAAATGATGTATTGCGTTGGGCCAATCTGCTGCAAAAGACTTCTAAGTATTTAAGAACAAAGATGCCATTGTGAAGATTAAGGTGCACTGACCCAAACAATTATATTTTCAAAAGCCTCGTATGCATGTAAGAGCTAGACAATGACCAAACAAGACTGAAGAAGAGTAAGACTGAAGAAGAATTGATGCATTTGAATTGTGGTGTCAGTGAAAAAAGGGAAGACCCTCAGTGAGATAGATTGACAGAGTACTTGCCATGATGGGCTCAGGTATGGTAGTGATTATGAGGCTGGCACAGGATGGGGCAGTGTTTTGTTCTGTTGTACATAATCACTATGCATCAAAGTCTACTCGGTGCACCTAACAACAATGGGAAGGGATAATGAGCTGTGGAAAAGGTACGTATATGGGTGAATATAAATGATGGTTACATTACAACAATAATGTAAAGTTAAAATTAATGACAATGATAAAACAAAAGGTGGTGGTGGGTTAATGGAGTTAAAGTGCTCTAAGGTTCTAGCATTATTGGAGAAGTGAAGTAATAACTTGTATCGAGGCAAAACCAAAAAAAAAAAAAAAACCCAGACTCACTGCCTTTGAGTCAGATCTGACTCATAGTCACAGTGACTCCTCCTTAGGTTTCCGAGGCAGTATCACTACAGAAGTAGATTGCCCAACCTTCCTTCCAGGGAGTGGCTGGTGGGTTTGCACCACCGGGCTTCTGGTTAGCAGTCAAATGCCTTAGGCATCACGCCACCAGAGGTCCTGAATTGAGGCAAGGATGCATAAACCAAAAAAAGAGAGGAACAGTAAGAAAAATGCATAGCCAACAAGTTAACAAAGGGAAAAATAGAATATTAAAAAGTCTGATTAAAAGAAAGCAAAAAGGAGAAAAAAGAAACAAACAGGTAGGTCACATAAAAAAATAGTAAGATGGTCCCATATAAAATAGTAAGATGGTCCCATATAATAATAATAAGATTC